CAGACCCCCGTCCAATTTAAAAAGAGATTGAAATTACACGGTCTGAGCTGAGGTTCGAATCCTTAGCGGTATCCTCAGACTCAAAGTTCTTCAGGTAAGGAGTTCTGCAGGTTCGAGATGTCATCTGCAATCCTCCAATCTTTAGATAAAACTATAAAAGCCAGCTGCGGCCTACAGTATTAAATATTTCGAAAAATTAAAAAAAAATCTGTTTCATCTCCTAAACCCAAACTTAGTACAGTTATATTAATGAATTATTATATGAAATTGTGCATACTCTTAACGGTGTATGCTGGTAGGGCACCAGAGGAGTATGATAGGATGAGCATGAAGTCAGGTAAGTTGTCCCAACGTGACGAATTCATAAGAAATTAACCACGATGGTTTCCAAAGGAAGCTCGTAGCGATTAGCCCCCATTACTGACGATCTCTCCAACGAATTTTTTTAATAGATGATTTTGGAATTGCGCCTGAGTTGACGGTGCATTGAATCAGGTTAGCTATTATTATTTAAGTTAACCTTTGTTTATTTGGTAGGTATGATGAGTAGGAAGCTGATGCAAAATTGCAAAATATTCCACACTGTAATTAGAAGTAGTTGGATGGTATTTGAATAATTTAATTTAAAATATCCAGTTTTCCGATGACGAAAAGCTTCAATGAGTAATGCATGCAATACCGGTCCGGTTCTTATATTGATTCCTGATACTGGTTTCAAATTGATACCCGTAGTTTATATTATACAAGCTGACCAGAGCAACTTTGTGTGCATCATATTTTCTCAATTTATTAAGAATTTCCGCTCCTGAACGTAGCGCAATTTTATATAGAATATAACCTTCTTTAACAAATGGTCTGTACAACAATATAAGAATTATCAAATTTAGATCACTAATACCCCCAGGTAGTGCCACTAGTGCTAGGTTGTGGCCTGCCTCGTCCTCTTGTCACAGCAGCCATGGAAAGGCACTTCCTCACTACGTTCTTTTCGGATTTTGACAAAACATGTCCGTACCACCTAAGCCTGTAGTAACATTCTGTAAGTTTGTTACAACTAATTGGAATTTGAAATGTAAGTCTGCTTTAGCGTCTGCTTAGCTCTAAACTAATAGTGTATGCGTTACTAGTCTAAATAAACTGATAACGGGAAATCCTACAATGTAGCGGTACTTACATAATAATAATGAGATTATTACCATAGATTATGTACTATTTTGTACAGGAAACATTTCAAATGTCACTTTGTATTTAGGTTCCATTTCAGACCTAGGGGTTCCAGAAATACGGGTCAGTACGGGATTTCCTGATTAATTATGTAGTGCTGTAAATCATTATACTAATTGGAGATAGATTAAAATCTATATTTTTGTATTTTCCTTTACTTTTAAAAGCAGACGGACATCTCAAGATATTAAACAGACATTTATGTTATATGGGATTGCAAATAATCAAAAAACATATGACCGGTTTTCAAAATTCTTCACCTAGAGATAACGATATTATCGGTGACTAATATAGGCTGTAGCAGTACACACGCATTAAAGTATACTAGGGGTCTAGTATAGTATAAGGCGTGCGGATATTTATAGTTAGTGCAGTTCACTACCGAGTTTTTAGGACGGCTTGCTCCCAAACGCATTAACACACAATACGCAATTATCCCACTACAGTACGCAAAAAAGGTTGACTTTTTTTAGTTGGTATAACTATTAATAGATCAATGATTAGTCGCTATCATGTAACCGACAATAACTAACAATACTTAATGTTTTGTGTCAAGGGCGTTTATTAGTTAGCTAAGTAGAGTCTGGTTAATGTAATATACGTTATGGCATTTTTATACCGATTTTGATGAGACTTTCTATAGCTATGTCTTATATTAACTGCCTAGAATATGTTAATATACGTAAGTGGGTAATTGTGTTTATTTACAACTTTTTTTCAAGTTAAACAAACCAAATCCATATATTTTTTTAATTAACTAGTTATAAAATGGTTTTGGAAACAAAAATAATCATATCATAGAAATACGCTTGAAGTTTTTTTATATTTCAAGTATGGTACATGTTGAATTCCCTTAGCTTATTAATTAATTTTAAACCTATAGCTTTGTTGTAAGACTTTGTTTTTAACTGCATAATATCGACACATCAGAATTTAAATGATCCGAGACATAGAATATTTAATTATGAGGACTATAGGGGATTATTACAAATAGTAAATTCACATTAGTAAATACAATAGTGTGACATAGTCCAAGAGCTCGTGAACCCAATGAATATTACTCGATGTTGTCGATACGAGTTAAAATGAATCATATTACAATTTACCTGCTAGATTGACATCGCCTGTCAATTTAGTTTCCTATTTTACAGCTAATTAACTAAGTTGTAATAAAATATAAATTTAGACAATTTTATTTACACTTTAAAAATATAAGAACTGACGAAATGCAAGATGCCTGCCAGGTGGTAGTACTTGACAGGTTAAGACTGAACACAAAAACAATCTCTTATATAAAGCCTTATATAAATATCCTTATAGAAGAGAAGACTTATTATTACATATAATTTTTTTAGAACACATAGAATGTCATACCTAATAATAGAACTTATAAGGATCAGGATCATATAAAATTAATAAAAATATTTTTTATTTTGTAAATGAGCTGTAACAGATTTCACATAAAAATTTAGTTCCGCACAAATAGTACCTAAAGTTTTTTTTACTATTATGACATTTTGTGGCAAATTGTATATTTAAGTGCCTAGAAGACTAATATGTACACGTCTCATATAAGTCAATGATAGATACATATATGTATAAGGAATAAGGTTCAAATTTGTCTATGAAATGTGAGGTCGTAAAATCTTCGAGTGTTTATGTTCTTGCGGTGCTGTCAATATATCTAAGACATTGTTGCAAAAAACGAATGAATATTCATGATTACAGTTACTCAAAATATACACGTACATAATAATAATTTCACGAACAAAAACCCATATTAGAGATCATCTTAGTTTGAAGAATAATATTTTTATTATTAAATTCTAAATATTATGAAAAACGAGACAAACCTGAGTCACGAGGTTTTCTCACGAGACTTCAGCATGGGGTTTTCAAGAAGGGTATATTAAGGTTTCTTAAGGGTCGGCAACGCGCACGTAACACCTCTGGTGTTTCAGGCATCCATGGACTACGGTAACCATTTGTCATCCGATGGTCCATATGCTTGTTCGCCACCATTGTAAGATAAAAAAGTCATCCGTTTCTAAATCTAAAAATATTCAATAATAAAATAATTTCGAGTTTACAACAGTAATTTTTAAGGCGATATTATAAATGTATAAGGCAGTTTGTTTGTTTCTTCATTATGAATTGACCCTTTGACAGTTTAACCAATCATCATTGCTATTAACGAATAAATATACACCTACTCTGAAATGTAAATATTTATAAATTTAAAAATATTCTGATCATATATATTTGATTACTAGCTATGCCCGCGGCTTCACCCGCGTTAAAATTTATAGCTAATTTAGAGCCTACATGTTATACTGATGTATAAGCTGTATTACTGTAAAGTTTCATCAAAATCAGTTCAGAAATGTTTGCGTCAAAGTGTAACAAACATCCATCTATACTTACTTATTTCTTTTTATAATAACTTCCGCGTTTAAAGTATTAATAATTAATAATAAGCTAAGATTATTCTCAGGCATTCAAATATTTGTTAAAAAGTGTTTGTCAAATAGTGCAACACTGATGCGATTAAAATCATCATTCGTCAACAGAGCCGATGATAAATCGGCAAATCACGCTATAACCGTCGACCGTGTCGCGACACGCATGGCTGGTGGCCTCAGTGGGGTTATGATGGAATTTTATAATTATGTAACTAGGCTTGTAAATAAACATAAATATCAATATTCGGATTGTCATTTGGATCAGTTTTTACGTAAGTAGATATTCTCTGTTGGATAATATTTTAATTAGATCAACGGCTAGTAAAGTTACTTACTAAACTGCCTAAGCATTATTTTCAAATAAAATTTATACCTGAGAATAATAATAAATGACATATCTTCACGACTACAGATTCAGATATTAACGGCCTCGGTGGTCTAGCGGTTTAGCACAGCGCCTTCCGATGGTCGCGGGTTCGATTCCTCGCACGGCACAAACAATTGTATTCATGAGTATAATTGTTTATATCGGTCTGTATCTGTTCTAAATATGTCTATAATTTAAAAATATGTCTATGTATTTGTATCAGTTATCCCATAATACAAGCTTTAGCTAGCTTAACTTGGGTATAGATGGCGCTGTGTGAATTATCCTAAGATTATTATTATAAGATATTACAATTGGGACAATCAGAGGTATTATCAACTATCGACATCGTAGTGACCCCAAAACATACACACATTTCGATAAAATATTTTCTAGTTATAATGTACAATTAAAAAGACAGGAGTCGGGAACTTGACGGAATACCGCAATCAGCCCTTATAGATAATAGATAAATGTGGTGCATTTACAGTACAGACATTACGGTGAGATTGCATTAATATACCCGTGGTATCTACACGTCAGTTGACATTCCGGAACACTAAGGTGTTATCTCCTATAATTTCACTGCTAATATCTCTACCTATCAATACTAACCAACCTACATGTCAATTACCTATCAACCGAAACAAGCAAGCTGCTTTGAAAGCGATGTTTCGCTCGTATCCACGCAGATTGTAGGTATTATTAGTAGTGTGGATTGTTGACCCCATTGCTACCAATGTACCATGTCAGGTTGACCTCAACGCGTTTTCCCCAGGAAGCCATCATGATAAATTCCTGATCAATTTGTCATAATGGGCTAACTGACCTGACCTTATGTTTATCCTCCACTGGTGCCCAGACAGCGTATACCGTTAGTGCAGACGAGTGCACCATTGCATATTGAACCATAAAATAAAGGCTAATCTATTTTTTTTTTATTTCAGGGATGTCGACCGATGGGTCGACGACGGATATTAACGTATTACTCAACGACACAGGTATGTGTTACTTTTATGTGCATCAGAGTCATTTCTCCGATATGAGCCATTTTATCCAAATTAATGCTCAGAAATATCAGCTCATATCAGATACTAAAGGAGTTCCAACGTGCTTTGTGATGGCAATACGAGTTCTTTAGTGCCGCCATTCCTGCAGGTTCCTAATGAACTGTGTATTAAATATGGTTGGTGATGAAAATTATAGAGGCCACCGCTTTTTGGACCGATTCACGCAACGTATGCATAATTTTTTCTTCGTCAGTAATAAGTCAGATGTAACGTCACATTTAGCTTTAAAATATTGTGAGTAGATCGAACAAAAATCACCCAGGTTTTTTTACTCGAGTACCACTAAAGCGATAAGGCCCTATTGTTCAATATGACCTTCATACAGTTAGGTACACTAAAAAACAAAGAAGAGCATTTCCGTTAAATCCGTGAGTAAGTTTATAGTAGTCATTCTATAATTCTATGGTAGTTTGACGTGTGATACAACATAAAAGAGCAAGTTAGAAAAAAATAAAAGAAATGTTGTTACTTATATCACCTACATATTCTTAGATATAATAATAGATATACACATTTTCGTAAACAAAAAACAAAAATAAAAATCATGATTCATCTTATTTTTATTCAACTGTTCGATTTTCATTTAATTCTAATTTCAAAGAGAAATAATAGTTTTTACGCCATCTTGTATGTACCATACAAACTAATAGTACGATATGCTGTTTTAAATCAAACAATACTTGCTAGATGGCGCTGATGCTGGTCCTACTATTATTTACATACAACGGATAATGCCATCTACTGGAAAAGCATAACAACAAAACTGTAATGTCAATGTATGTAGATGGCGTTGCGTAAAGCGTATTTTTTTGCGTTTGCATATGTGCCAATAGATGTCGTTAGTTGTCTAATATTACTATACTCGCATCTGTTATAATATTTTATATTATATTTTTAGAAAAAAGTAACAATGAATAATTTAATACTTTATTATAATCAAATAAGCAATATATATTAATATAATAATAATATTAACTGCAAATGTCAACTATAAATTGAATTGGATTATAGCTATGCACTACTAAACCTAGTGGTATGTATCTACTTACTTAATAAGTATACAATTATGTTTATTGCAGTTGGTTAGTACATGATTTATCACCTTGTAATTATCTTTTTACCATAGTTTACCACAAGAAGGAAACAAAGAATCCGTGACTTTATAGAAGGTTCATGAATACCTAAATCCCTGGTATTCATGTACTACCTACCACAAACCTTGAATGTTATTTCGTGTCGTCATTTGCCGTTATGGTGTACAGGCAGGTTTCTACTTAGGAAAACGCAAGGCAACTATGATTAACCTCGATGAGTAGGTTGTAAATTAATATTTATGTAGGTCTGCACTTATTTGATGAAATTTATAGAATAAAATTAGTAACAAAACTTACAATCTATTGTGAAGTTACATTATGGGTAATATTCTATTTATTTAGTCTTTTTTATCGGTATTATTAGGTTATTTATTATACAGGTATAATTAAATAATTTCTGTGAGACTCTTTCTTTTGAGTCTCAAAAGAAAGAATTAAAACTTGATAAATTATGGTACACTAGCTCGATTTGGCTCTCTAACCTCGTACTACATAGTAATACATCGTAATTTATGATCGTAGTTAGATAAGCATCATAGTCTATGATTAGAGCTAAATTTCGTGCTAGGCTAAGTTTCAAAGTTGGCAACCCTAATTTTAGGACATGGGGGCTTATTAATATCTATATTGGGTACCTATTATATACATAATAGGTACTGAGAAGTACCTGCGAACCTATCAACAGTGGAGTGTATGCTAATGACACAATTAACATTATAGACAAATCATCATCATAGTAAAAACATACAAATCATATAATGTTCAAAACCCCAAAATAACCAGGTTTATTCCCGTTTCTTATATTTTGATAAACCGGGACTTCCCGTTTGTGAAGGGTTGACAGTTTCAATTTGCACCAATCATTACGAGGTTTATATAGTTACAATCTACTGGTGAAGTTGTTTGCTATCTTTACAATCAGCGCAACAGGCCTAAACCCTATACCTATCTGTAGATCTTATTAAACTCAGCTGGTTATATAAAACAAATCCTAATATGATCGTAAAACTGTTATAAACCTAGGCCTCCCAATAAAAATAGTAGATTGCTAGAAGCGGACTAGTAGGCCCATTGCTAGCAATTGAACAAGTCAACCTCCGCGTGGTTATCCCGGGAAGCCATCATTTTTAATCATGAGGTGATGTACTTCTTCGTCGGGCACTATGAGCTGACAGATCTCTGTCCATATTCCTCCTGTAATACTTAACCGGTGCCGCGCCAGCGCATACTGTCTACGCAGGCGGTTGCATTATTCCATTATCACCTATTGAAAATTACATATCTAAGATCTATGACATTGAAACCCATAACCGCAGGTCAAGTTATTATGATGTATCTACGCTTAAATAAACGTAGAAAACTACGTTACAATACTTCGATATACTATTACGATCTTTATTACCCGCGTCATAGTGACGCCATTTCAGTTACGATGTCAAATCTAATTTACAAAGGTATTGTAAGCACCTTTGCCATTACTATGCTACGCATGATTCATTCATAACAATCTATAGTAAATTATAATGAACATCTGTTTAAGTACTGTGGACATGATGACGTAATTTGATTTCGCGTTTCCACACACAGCCTACCTACCGCGAGACTGTGCCAAACGTAGTTAACTCACGGTCTTGATGATAAACTTCCGATTCATTCCGAAACTGTCCAAAACTGGCGTAATTTTTGTCGTTCAAAGATGTCTTAGTAAGGGGTTTGTTTTATAATGGGTGATAATGAAATGGTGCACCCATCTTCGCTAACGGCATACGCCGGCGGGGCACCACTAAAGGATGATTAGTATGAGATTAGTCCAACGTGACAAATTCATCAGGAATTTAACATGATTGTTTCCACGGGAAACGCGTGGAGGTCTACCTGACGCAATAGATTGTTAGCAATGGGGTTATTAATCCATATTTCTAACATTCCCCTTCCCTCCCTTAGTAATAGTTATGACGAATGAAACAAATAGTAGCCTTTTACAGGTCATTTTTTTTTAAAGTTTATCATAGGAGGAGGTTAAGTTGCAGCCTTTTTCCTCATTGTGACGAATGATTTCTAGGGGGACCGCGTGGAGGTCTACCTGACTTGGTATATTGTTTGCAATGGGGAAACTAGTTTAAATTGATCTCCTCTATACTACACAATTTAAATACCAAATATTTTAATATATAAAAATTGCGTGTCACGCTGTTTGCCCGCGATGGAATCATAAATTACTGAGCCGATTTTGATGATATTTTATATGTATACTCGGTAAGTTTGAGAATAGGTTGTTATCTATTTTTTATACCCCTATGTAATATGGGTGGCCCACCCAAAAAAATATTCATTATCTTTTTGACATATTTTTTGGCATTAAAAGCAATCAATCCTAAATTTTCACCTTTTACCATTAACTCCTATTTTTTAATAGCGATATTAATTTATATGGGAAAACAACGTTTGTTGAGACAACTAGTTGTATTATATAAATTGCGTTTTACAGTAGATGCTCTTATCGTAGTTTGGACATTTTTTGTGTGCATTACGTTATGGTAAATACACGGACGGACGGAAGTCCCGTTTTTTGTCAACATTTAGCAACTTAGGATTTAGTGAGGCGAATGACGTATGTTTATCCTTAAGTTTGTATCACGTCATGCTATGAACATAATTATTTTTTAGTTGATTACAAACAACAGTAAAAAAACCAGCGCCGGTGATTCTGCGAATGTCCGCAATAAAAACATTAAATTAATTTATTCGGATCTTTGATTTCTTATTAGTAAAACGAATGACGTAAAATATCGAAAACACCTAGAGATGTTTTATACTCTTTTATTTACCTGCCTAACCACTCTGTTTAGAAAACTACTTTTTTATTAATGCCTAATTTATATTATTAGACATATTAAATTAAAGTTACATTTTGTTTTAATAATAATGACCCTGGCCAAACCACGCCGCGTCATCGTCAAACTAGGCACAGCTTGTGTTATGTGTACAAGACAACTGATATAAGTACTTATATACAGTTTTTTTTTGGGAATACATACATAATATACATAGAAAAGCCATACCAATACAAACACTTATGAATAAAAATATTTCCACCTTTCGAGAAATCGATGGAGGTGATAATGGAATAGTGCACCTAGCCCCGAATCCTACTTTTTTTCGAGGCGGGGTAAAAGTTTAAAAAATTCCGATCTCTATCACCCCGCTCCGGCCAACATTCTGTAATATAGATATTTACTTTCTATTTGTCCAATTAATATAGCTGTTAATAATTTTATATTAACAGCTTAATAATGTTATAAATAAAAATATTTATTAAATAAATAAATAACATATTAAATATTGTGATTTTTTAACAGTTCTATCTTCATCTTGAAATGTATCAAATATAAACCATTTTGCTTGTCGTCTCCGTGGTCAAGTTGTCAACGGTGCGTTAATGATGAGTTGTGTATTCATCTGTCCAGTTCGTATTGGCCGCCTCCAGTCCTTGCCGCCCGGGACATGGGCTCCGTGTTGACCCCCCATAGATCCGGGGCTGAGTGCACCCATATACTCTGGCGGGTGCACTATTCCATAATCACCTATTAAAAAAATGTTACAATGTTTTTCTACAAGTTAAATTAATTCCCTAATGTAAATTTAATTTTTACATATTAATTATATATTATATTATATGCACATAAATTAGATGTTAAAGTGGCTTTAGAAGTGTGTGTGAGTTTAGAAAAGTGCCAATGAAAAGTAACCTCTTTGTTAGTTGAGATAAACGCTTTTATGAGTCACTGGTTATTTTCCGCTTGTGAAAATGCGATGTACCTTTATTAAACAGCGTAA